ACACTGGGTCTCTATTGGGATACAGCTAATGACACTTTCAAATATTCAATAAATGTGCAATTATCTCAAAGATTCACAAAGAGAACGATTTTGTCGTGTATTGCGCAAATCTTCGACCCACTAGGCCTTCTTCCACCTGTTGTCATGCTCGCAAAGATAATAATTCAGAAACTTTGGCAATGCAGAATGGAAGGATGGTTGGGATGAATCGGTTCCTTTGGATATTCTGACAAGCTATAGAGAATTTTATAGCCAGCTGGGTGATCTTAATGATTTGAAGGTTTCCAGAAAAATTATGGTATCAAGGCACGTTTTGGTTGAGCTACATGGGTTTGCTGATGCGAGTGAGATAGGATATGGAGCTTGCATTTATTTACGGTCAGTTAATGGCGAGGGACATTGTTCTGTTTCTCTGCTATGCTCTAAAACTAGATATGGGGTCACCACTATCCCCATTTTTTAGTAATTTATGTATGGAAAATTTTGAATCAACTTTCATTAATAATTACAAATTTAAACCAATAATTTGGTGGCGTTATATTGATGACGTATTCTCCATTTACAGTCATGGCGAACAAAAACTTGATGAATTTTTATCTTATCTGAATAATAAAGAACCAACAATTAAATTCACTATTGAAAAAGAACAAAATCACCAAATTCCTTTTTTCGATATACTAATTCAGAAAAATTTAAACAATTTCGAAACCTTGGTCTATAGAAAACCTACTCATACTAACCGATATTTGAATTTCGATTCAAATCACCCAATAATGGTTAAAAAAAGGTATCGTAAAAAGTCTATATGATAGATCAAAAATAATTTGTAATCAATCTAATTTTTCCAAAGAAAAACAATTCATAAAAGAAATTCTAAAAATCAATAATTATCCAAATTCTTTTATTGAAAAATGTTTTAACGAAATAGAATTCCCACGAACAAAACAAAATCAAAATAAAACTATTACGAACCTTTTCATTCCATTTATTCCGGGACTTTCAGATCAAATTAAAAGAGTAGGTAAAAAATTTAATATTAGGACTATCTTCAAAACT